CCCCCCCCCCCCCCCAGTGCAGGGGTTAAAAAAAACCCTGCATATTTACAGTAATTGAACTCTATGATTTGCTGGCACAAACATTGCCTCATATTTCCATCACGTGCTGTAACCATGCGTTGTTATGTTCGTGTAGGTCTGGGCTCGCACGGCTACCCCCCCCCCCCCCTTCGGTTGGTGTGACACACGTACACTGCTTGCAGAAGCTGTGATGTAATACCATAATTGGGAGTCGAGGGGTGTTTTCAATCATTATACAGGGTTATATTGTCTTAAACACAATGCACTGAAGCTAATCCAGCCGATGCCACTGGTTGAATTAGCTGGGTGTATTTTTGATAGCCTGTCCCTAACAACCGTGCGCACAACAAGGCTCGCCTTTGCAGCCTGTGTGATGCTGGCTGCAACAATCACAACCTCCCGGCAGCAAAAAAACCACAAAGGTGAGACTAAGAACCCACAAACCCTATGATAACCAATTTATAAATAACATAGTGTCTAAAGGATGCTATTCAGTGTCCCCCCCCCACCTCCCCAACCCCCGCCACCTACCTGAGCTCTTATCCAGCTGTCTTGCTGCTACCCGCGTCATGAGGACTTGTGTCGGATTGATCGCATCCTCCTCCTCCTCTTGCTCTGCGCATGCGCGTTGACAGCGGAAATAAGAAGCAGCATTTTCCTCCTGCGAGGGAAAGAGAGAGAGAGAGAGAGAGAGAGAGAGACTACTGCTGGCTGTTTTGGACTGAGCTACGGGACAGTAAGAGAAGAAAATGTTTGTTTATTGCACGGGAGGAAATAAACGCATGAAACCGGTGGCATGTGCGCGTTAAGAGTCGCAGTCACCCGCACGCTCTGCAGGTTCCTCCAGTAAAAACAGCTGCTGTGCTTAGTGTGTTTATTTAACACCTGTGTGACAAATGGGAGTTGCATTCATCTTCTTCTTAATTCGTAATTGCTGTGGTATTTTATTTATACGCGCACTATTAATCATAAAAAAGGATATTAAAATGATATGAGAAAATATCTGAGCTGTTTGTAGGTTTTGGCTGTGAGTGTCATAGCTCCTCTACAAATTATTCCGCGCTTTTATGATCTAAGCTTTGAAATGCTTCCGCTGCCAAGCCATGAAACCTACATGAGTGGACACTGGAAAAGGTCACCGCTTAGCATGGGAAAAATTCAGAGCACGTTTCAAGTGTGACCTTGAAGAATTTATTGCCTTGTATTAGTGCCACCTGTTATTTTTAGTCATTGAGTTCTTCATAGGAAAATCACCTTTTATTTAGATGTTAATTAAACTGTAAACTGTCTTTTTTTCTGTACACGTACAGCTTGTCTAAACCTGTGTTGAGAATGACCATCCATAACGCTCTGTGGTTTCTGCCAGAGACTGCTCTCAGGCTGGAAACAAGAGAAAACACTGAGATGGGACCTGTCTCCAGAGGAGATCCGGACCATGACTGACAGCGTGATTAACAGTATAAAGAAGGTTGATGAAATTGGATCTTTAAACATAGTTAACGTTTCTGTTGAAACACCCTGAAGCCCTTGGCTCTAATTGCCAAACTGGAATATGCCATCGTAGTCTCTCTTTACATTAATAACCAATGAACTGGTGTTTTGAGAGTTGAATACCCTGGTGAATATTCCTCGTTAAATGGATATATCCTCACCGTATCTCGTCATTATTTGTGAATGCGACCAACATTTGGAGCCCAAAACTGTGTATTCTCCTTTTCCATTCCAGTCACAGCTTGGCCACTCTGTCCTGCCAATACAAAACCACTATATGTTATAACCTGTAGCTCAGATTGTGTCATTCAAATCAGCGCCAGAAATGTGTTATTACAACGTTTAGAAACCAACAGATATTCACTCAGCCGTAAACACGTCTTTTTAACAGAGAATGAGACTGTTGACTGGTAAGCAACAAATTGTGCTGTTCATCCACAGCCTGAAAAATAGTCCCCAGCCCAATTTACTATTTACTCCGAGAGAAGTTTGCCCTTTAAAACTACAAAATGCCCAGCTGTTTTTTTAAAGAGTCTTGTGTTGTTGGCTGTGTCATACAAATTGCCACACGTGTGTGACACCTACCTGTAGCAGGAAAATCAACAACCAAACTCACAAGAGCTTAAGGTGCTTTGGAACTGAGATCCCAAAAATGAAAATTTCCGAAAAAGAATGGGGCATCGCAGCTGGTGTGAATCCCATCACCAAAGATTCAATATACACGTTTCTGGACTGTTAACCTCATGCTAGGTGTCTATATGCCAAAAGCAATAACAAGTGCATGCGCATAAACCATCGTACTATATTTACACTCTCTCGTACAGAAGTCCTTTTTTTTAAATATGTAGATTTTGATGCTGCGTTTAGGAAATACTAGGTATAAATCTCCTGGGGGGGAATCCTTATCTGTGATAAGCACCCAGGGGGCAGATTTCCCAGACTAAGTTCAGACTATTCTGGGGTGTGGGAAACGCCAACAGAGAGGAAGAAATCGAGAAATGAATACACTGTAAAGATAAATAACTCTCAAAACTGACTGAACCAGACTCAATTTGTCTTTCGCCTCTCGAAACCCTGAAAGAATATAATATTATCACAAACCAAAGCTCTGCTCCCAACACGACACAGGCTGCAATGTATAACCAAAAACAACCAGCTTTTTACCACTTAAGCCTTTTTAAATAACACCAATATGTATTTGTAAGTGCTGTAACGGTCCAGCTAGTTGTCTTCCCTGGGGGGGGATCTGTTTTGGTCAGACGTCAGAAAAGAGGAAAACATATTGCAACTGTAGCCTGTCTTCATCTTCCAGTGGATCAGTGCTTCCATCCTCCTATGAGTTAACCTGGAAACAAGAGGCAAATGCACCGGCAGCATCATTACTAGTAGTCGTTATTGTTATAGATAATGACATGGCTGGATGAAGCAGTTAGTGGGCCCCTAGGACAAGAATTTGCTGTAAATGTGATTAACACTTCTTTATTTGTGTACCACGCGAGCAGAGGGCCTCTCTCTGCAGGTAGGGACCAGAAAATAACACAAAACTGCAGGATTCGCTTTAACTGATATCAGACATGAGTATTTCAAGGTCCTTAATTAATTAAATCATCAGCAATCAACTGACATGCAGGGAATCTGGGACTTTTTGGGGCCTGTGGGCAGTAGCCCGCTCTTCCCATGTGATAATCCAGCCCTGGAAAATAACTCCATAATAACCCAAGAGCGTGTTATAGGTCTACAGTTCACATGGATGAATGAGAAAGAAAGAAAAATTTAACAAACCATTAGAATCTCACTGTAAATTACTTATTCTGTCCATGGATGGTTGAAATGAGGATACAGGACACATGCTTAACTAATGCATAACTAATACATGATTCATGATGACTTGTTGCATAAATTAAAGGCCCCAAAAACATATTTTCCCAATCAGCTTCTTGCAATGAGTCCAACATGAATACAGTGTTTTGTGCCACTCTTGATAAATAATAACTAAATACTACTACTAAACTACTCCCTATATTAACTTACAGCTAATGCCACTAAATTAGCTGGAGACTGGACACAAAAAAGCGGGCATTGATCAATCTTTCTGAAAGTAGAACAGTATCTGTTCTGATATAAATATGGAGCATATTTTTTATCAGATGCAAACATCTACCTGTTACTGCATGGCCTGTTTGTTTATGTCACATCTACAAGCTAAGGGGTAGAGAACAATTTATAGCACACGGGGAAAAACTGGGATTAACTATGTAACACCATAAAGGGCCTGATTTTATTTTCACAAATCAATGATTTTGTTATAGAGAAAAGATCACTCCCTACACATTCTGTCTCACAGGGTTTTAATCATCGGTCAGTCGTTCACATTGTAGTGAAGGAGCACAGGAAAACTGGGTGTTAATATTATTATATGTCAGGACTCTGATTGTGACTTGTCAACAGAACTACAGATTATTTCTGTCGGGCAGAACATGTAGATGTTGAGCAACTCATAAAACAATTAATTTAAAACCCTGCATTCATGGAATTAATCACCGTGAGACATGGATTAGTTATTCATTGCTTAAGCATGTGTTTTGTATCCTTATTATAAAGTGTCACCCAATGAGTTAATAACATAGTCATCAATGTGTGGGTGCGTCTCTGTTTCACTCCAAACTACTTCCTGTGCCCGACAGTTTCTAGGTAAAAATGGCGGTGGAGAAACGCTTGGCATTTTCTATTGTGCAGTTCCTACGTGATCAAACACATTGCGGCGCTTTGAATTCCGATGAGCAGGAGAGTCTCGAAGGTAGGTCGACTCATTGTGCACTTATTTTTTTTAGAAAGCACCTTTTCAAAATGTAGGACAGTGCTCCTGTCCTGTCCGTTTCAGAGCGAACTCAATGCACGATCTTACTTCGCTGTCCCGGGGTAGAGAGGATGAACAGGAGTGGGTTTTATCATCAAAAAGAATCACAACTGACTGATGTGCAGTGTGTGTGTGGTGGTGTCTTTCATCCAATGTGAAAGATGGACAGGACAGTTTTTAATTTCTCGCTCTGAATGTGCAGCCAAAATTCTGACTCACCATCATAATACCGTTAAGTCTAAGACCATTTGTTTCGCTGTTATCTTGAAAGGGAGTCATTAATGTACTGTCATTGATCTCATCAAAATGATCCTGTCATATCTCACTGATGCTCCACTACAGTTGCGATACAGTGTTTGGAGACCACCTTCAAGATCAGCTCCAGCGACTGCCATCTTGCTGTGCCTCAGCCTCTCACAGAGATATTCCTCAATTCCCTGCTCAAGGTGGGCGCTGCACAGCACACGGGACCTGGGCTCTGTTTGTATCGGGACAGGTTTATAGCATGAACCAATGCCACATACCACAGCATTTGGTAGCCTAAGCTAGTTAGCGATGCCCGACCCATGACCACACAACTGATCCATGTGTCAGTCTGAGTCTAAATGATCTCAGTCATGATCCGTTAAAGACTTCTACGTGAGGGAAATTAGGATTTATGAAATGGCACCTTACCAAACTTTGGATAAACCTTTTATTATTATATATGGTGCACATAACCTTAACTCAGCTTTTACATCACCAGGATGTGCGTCATGGCTAAAACAAAATAAATGTATGTTCAATCTTCTACAGTCAAAGCTATTCACGGTAGACATTTGGACTTTTCCTGCTAACACGTCACACTGTCTGCCGTGAGAAAGGTCTTCTGAATACTTCATAGTCACTGTTTATTCACAGTTAATTTCACTTTGGTTTAAACAACATCAGTGATTTCTCTGTTTTGCATTTGCTCAGAATGACAACATAACCATACCAGAGACCTCCCCATCTCCAGAAGACATCGAGCGAGCAGAGCAGCTCAAGAATGAAGGTAAAGTTAAAACTCTTCGTTGGGAACAGAGAAGGGACAGAGTTGATCCACGCAGCACTAAATGTGCTTCAGAAGTGTTTTTAGTTAACTACATTTCACCATAATTAACCCACACGTTAAACTACACTTTCACAGTTACTGGTAGATGCTTTGTTCAGAAAGATCATTTTGGAGCCCAGCAGCTCCTTCTGTTATTATTCAGGTATTGTGATGTTTTCCATGTGTTTTATCATAGTCCTGAACATGTCTGAGCTGGAGCCAATAGCCCATTAATCAACTGGTCGATTGACAGGCAACTATTTGGATAATCGATTATTTGTTTAAGACATTTTTCAAGAAAAATGCCAAAACATTTGGTGGTTGAAACTTCTCCAATGTGCTGATTTTGTCTGTCTTATATTACAGTAAATATCCTTTTGTTTTCAGCTGTTGGCTGAAGATATTATCTTGGACTAATGATGTTTATTTTCACTATTTTCTGGTGTTTTATTGGCCAAACAGCAAATCAGTTCATTGAGAAAATAATTAATAATGAACATAATTGTTATTTGTAAGAGTTCTCTGCAAAGTTGTTACAGCATCTGAACTTTATGCTGGCCATTTTTTTCTACATCTTTGGCCAGTCATTCTACTGCATGTGTTCACTCTGTGTTTTATTCTCAGGGAACAATCACATGAAGGAAGAGAACTACAGATGTGCGGTGGAGTGCTACACAAAGGCCATTGATCTGGACCTAAGAAACGCCGTGTACTACTGCAACAGGTATTTACAACAACATGATTTTCACACTGTCGTTGTTTTGCGCCTGACTTTGAGCCGCTACTGTGGTTCGCAGATCTTTCTACGACAGCACACGGTGATGTAATGTTTGAACTGGACTAGACAGTGCTGGTGAATTCAATCCTTTCCTTTGTGCGCTACCTATCTGAATATAATTAAAGAAGCCAGAGATAACGGAAAGCACTTTGACACTTGGCAGGGCTGCAGCTCACAGTAAACTGGGAAATTATACAGAGGCAACCGGTGACTGCGAGAGAGCCATTGGGATTGATCCTACCTACAGTAAAGCTTATGGACGGATGGGGTGAGTTTGATGTTATTTAAAACAAGGTTTATTGAGTTTTACTGTGTCTGTCAAAAATAATACCTGTCCCTCTCCTCTGTGGCTTCAGGTTGGCTTTGACAGCCATGAATAAATATCCAGAGGCAATATCCTACTTTAAGAAAGCTTTGGTATTAGACCCTGAGAACGACACCTACAAATCCAACCTGAAGATTGCAGAGCAGAAGCAGAAAGAAGCAACCAGTCCAGTGAGTAAAAACAAGCTGTATTAGCTCTTATTTCATGTGACATAATGCGTATGCCATTAAAGTGCACATGCACTGTATTGCATGAATGTTTGACCTTTTTCTGTCTGTGAATGTGCGCCGCAGATCGCCGCGGGATTGGGGTTCGACATGGCTAGTTTGATCAACAACCCTGCCTTCATTAGCATGGTGAGAGCACGGCTCCTAATGTGAGCACTGTACCGGCTGTGTAACAAGCACAGCAGAGGTTATCAGCTGTTCAGGAGGCTTAACCATTTGTCCCGGAGACAGGTGTCTTATGCTTGTTTTGTCTCTGGCAAGGTTAGACCAGATTCTTTTCCCTAATTAGTCCAACGAGTGGCAGTTAGCCCGTTACTCAGCCGCAGTTATTGCAGAGTGGAGAGGACCATGTAGAATCCTGACTTATTAAATGATGACACGCGGGATCTTCTGCCAAGCCGAGAACGCTTCTGCGAGTATGCCAGAGTTTTTATTGCTGCAACAATGACAAGAGACATCTAAATCAGAGGGATGTTTAGGTCGGTTCGGGGCCTAGAGCACCAGATCAAGGATTGTTTTTCTCACTAAATTTCCAGTGTTGCCACAAATAAATGTTCCTTTTAATACATTTGGAAGAGACGCCGATGAGATTTCAGCTTCGTTTCTTTTTCACAGGCTGCGAGCGTGATGCAGAACCAACAAGTGCAACAGCTGTAAGTGTCAGAGTGAATTGATGGGGTTTAGGGTAAACAGTTTTAAAAACATACTTTGAACATAATGTGCTCTGACTCACTGTCACCGTGTCGCTGTGTGGTCAGGATGTCAGGAATGATGTCCAATGCAGTCGGGGGTCCTGCAGCAGGAGTGGGCGGACTGTCAGACATTTCCAGCTTGATTGAAGCGTAAGTGCACACAACACCACATTAAAAGCATTTAGAGAGTTTCACATGAGTTATATATGTTCATGTACCTACAGACTTTTATTTTTAGAGGGAAAAAAGTTAAAGGAATAGTTCGACCTTTAGGGAATTTGATGCCACTCTCATGTCTTTCAGGTTAATATAAAGATATAAAAACGTCATGTTGTGGTTTTACGTTACATTTTGTCTTTTTTATGCATTCGACAAATGGGATTAGTGAACTTTAATGATGCTTGTCGCTGGACTTTATTGCCTCTAATCAGAGCCACACTGGTTGTTTCCACCTGTTTCCAGTCTTTGTGTTAAGCTACATGTGAGCTAACCAGCTGTAGCTTCATGTGTGGTCACCTTTCATGGCTGATACATATTTGGCAAAATTTTGTCTCAGGAAACTCAGCATGAGCAGCTTTTTGTTGTTGCTGATGAAGCATCACTTGTATCTGTTCTGTAAGTGTCCACAGTGTGATGAGATAAGGTGATGGGATAAGATCAGAGAGGTGGGTGGGGGGGTGGGGGTCCTGTTATTTTACTGTGTATTAGAAACATTGTGCATTGTGTGAGTTATTGTTCTGGTAGAAAGTAATATAGCGGGTAAACGAAGCTGTCTTATCTCTCTGTCAGGGGACAACAGTTTGCCCAGCAGATCCAGCAGCAGAACCCAGAGCTGATCGAGCAGTTAAGGAACCACATCCGGAGCCGCTCCTTCAGCGGCAGCGCCGAGGAGCACTCATGATCCACTCTAGGTATTTTATATGTTTAAAAACCAAACCTCAGACGACTATATTATGTAAAATGTGAATAGTTTTTAATCGTTAACATGACTTCTTTGTATTACAGCCTCATGTTTTTGTTTTTCCTCCCCCCTAAGGAAGGGCAACCATATGGCGCAATTACAATCTCTACACCCATTTCTTAAAGTCCCCGGCGGAGCTGGCATGAAGAGACAAGGATGGGGGTTGAAGGCACTTTACTGTGACTAAAGGCTCTGGGGTGGAGAAAATAAGGACCTGGAGACTGGACCATGAAATGAAGCATCCCACACATTTAGGGCAAAACATACTGTAAACACCCAATCATGAAAAAAATTAAAAAAATTAAAAAAAAGAATAAAAAAGAGAACCGAGAACGCGTTCAGCCTGTAGACGGAACATGAGTAAAATCTTTCTTCAGAGCTTCTAGAGATCGTGTTTTCTATGTGCTGAAAATACTGCCCTCTTCATGTTATGAGTTGAGGATCCTTCTGTCTAGTCGTGATGAATAGAGGGGCGAGGGAGGAATGTACTTTTACAGCATTGCAGGGAACATTTCAGCTTTTTCTCATACGACACACACATACACACACACACACACATAGGACATCAGGTTTACCTTGTTTATATCGCATCTTCTTTAATATTATTTTTGTAGACAGAACACGCTCTTACTTGTTCATTGGGTGATACAGACCATTCAGTCCATCATCGTGTAGGACTCACATCACTGCTTTTCAATGAGTACTACTTAACTTTTGATTAAGACAACTGTGTAATTGTATAGCAGTGTTTGCAGCCTGCATAATGTTGTTATTGCACTTTAGCAAAAATAACTGCCCCCCCCCCTCCCCCTTTAAGCCTATTTAATTGTTCATGAACTAGTAACAACATATTCAGATGGTTCATTTTGCATGCTCTTAAATCTGGTATTTGAGATCAGATGCTTTACAGAAACAAATAGGTATGCTAGGGCAGCACAATGTTTTGTCTAAAACATGTGAATAAATGTCTTGAAGTTGATCAACTGCTCACACTCGTCATTTCACGTTCAATAATGTTGTAAAATAGCAGATGCTCTGCTCTACTCCACATCCTGGAGATTCTTGCAGTTTGTCACTGTAACTAGTGTTTATGTTCCTTTTATTAGCAGCACAGGCTGAGCAGAATCCCAATCTCTGAACCCAAAATTCAACAATTCAGAAGTTTAGAAAACAAAAAAGAATCCGCTCGTATGTGACCTTTAACTACTGTTTGTGCCATTAACAGCAACATTAAGTTAAATTTCCATCATTTACCAAAATCCACACAATCTTACTCTCACGATCTTACTATGTTGAGTGCACATGAATACAATCATCCTCAATTTTGAACATTAAACTTCAAATTTTAAAGTCTGCAGCCACAATGAGCCAGGACACGAGACCTGGAACAGAAGCTGCGACTACGCCTGGTTTCAGGAGGCAAGACATGTGGCACTTATGAAACTCGAAGTGGCCATTAAAATATCTGAAATGTTAATATTTTCATCTGAAATTGCGTTTATTATTATTACTGTTATTACCTGATGACAGAAATAAGGGATCGTAGTAAGAGACGTTTTTCAGAGCAGCTTGTCTGATTACTTGGATCATCAAAATGTAACTGAGAGAGTTGAAAACAAGGTTATTGCGACATATAGGTATTGACAATAACTGTGCTGTTTAAATAATGAAATACACATATAATATGGTGATGGCAGATGTTAGGTTACAGACTCTCTCTCCACCTCCCGACACTCTTATTTGAGTCAAATTCATTTGCAAAAAGAGACAAAACACACAATAAACAAAGTTGAAGATGAATTGGATTGATAGCATTTTTATAGATTTAGTTTTTTGTTTTGTTTTTTAAATTTTCTATAGATATAGCAATAATATTGTTATTGTGAATTCTTTTGGTCACGATAATCATGTAGTGAAAATCTGACATCGTGACAGCCCGAGTTGAAAATGGTCATCTGCATCCTGAGGATCTAAAAATGTCAAAAATAAAGGTAAAAACATTCTTAGATTCTCAGCGCAGACTACAAAAGTTCTGTTCAACAGACTGATATAAAGTCTTTCATAAAATAATCTTCTCTATGTCTCAAAAACCACAATGGACACCAAGAAATATGTTTTTAAAAGCAATAGGAATCAAAGATTACAGAGATTTTATTAACATTTATGCACATTTACATTATTATTTTCAAAAGAAAGTGATTTATATTATTCACAAGTCATTTTAAAATACAGCATCATCCTCTTAGGTTGCAAAAAGAGTGAAATGTCAGCGTCATGTGCAGAATTCCACAGTTGGTCCACTCATATCTAAAATGCAAAAAAGGTCAATAAAACTTCTAGCTCTCGTTGCTCGTATACGGGCAGACCACGCACACCTGCGCGATGTCGTCATATTCGTACGTCCTCTTCAGGAACGTATCCGTCAGTCTCAATCCAGAAATACTCTAAAACAAAAAACGGTGACATTACTGAGCATCAGCAGTGTTAGCTTTAAAGCACATTAGTAACGGTTTATGTTTAGATCGTACCTGCAGACCCTGGACAGATGAGAGGAGTGTGAGGGGCAGAGAGAGGAAGGCAGCAGGACTGAGTTTTCCCAGCTGTCTCCCTGACACGCCGCACCAGTGGATCGACCTGGTGTTGCACATCTCTAGCACCAGGTCCATGGTTCTTTCACTACAACACGAAGGTCACAGAGAGGCTGGCTGTTAGTGTGCTATTGGATCATGTCTGTAATTCAATGATTCAATCATATGGTATTGATTAAATAGTACTGAAGGTTGTCCTGTATGAGGAGCAAGACTTGAGGCTAATGGACTGTGGGTTTTTACCTGCAGTTGGTGATTTTACAGATAATGTCAAAAGGCTCTTCGAGGTTGACCGTGTCAGGAATCATCTCCAGAGACAGTCTGATGTCTCCATACCCTGGAGCCTGCAGGGCACACCAGGATAGGATAGTAAAAAATAAACATAATAGAATTTTAAAAAATGAGATTCTTTGATCTTGACAACGGCGGACACAAATGTTCCTGATACCATTCTTTGTAGCTGGCTGGTCTGTAACCTCCCCCTCTCCCCGAGATTGGTCTTCCATACTATGTCGAGCTTTCCTATCACCGTCACGCCCTTGATGACACCGGCCTTCTCCGCGTACTCCGGCTTCGGCTTCAAGCAGTACAGGTACTGCCGTGTGTCCATGGGCTGCAGGTAGGACATTTTCCCAAAAGTGGACTCCCTGACAGGGAAACGTTACAGACGAGAGCCACAGTACAAGCTTACAAATAAATAAATTCACCTTTTTTCCCAATTACATCAGCACAAGGGAACATGTGCTTTATTTTTCTCTCTTTTTTACCCATCTTCTCCACATGCGACCATGTTGAGCTCTGTAACGTTGTACATCATGGAGGGCTCTAGAGAGACCTTCTCCATGAACATCGGGGAGGTGGTGATGTTCTGGATCTGAGCCTCCAGGAACACTTCGTCTGTCTGGGGCAGAGAGGAGAGGGGTCAAACTAATATTTGCTGCTCACAATGAAGTAAGATCACAGAATCTCCGAGGTGAACTGAGCAACACTTCAACTTCCTTCATTAGGTATGAAGAGGATGAGGCTTGTGCAAAAATCCTACTGCCTTACAGGATACGTTCACATTCTTTCAAGTCCGTCTTATAATAACAATATTCACATGGCCATATATAGTTATTGGTCGCTGTAATTTTCCTCCTGACCTGAGGGGATACCTTCCTAACAAGACCTCAGTGTAACAGAGGGATGACAAACAGCTGAAATAATACTTTCTTAAGTTTAACCCAAGTGAATATGAAGCTTCTGCAGCATGACGTAGACTAAACAAGTGGGCATCTTCTCAAGCTTTTTAGAATGAAATTCACTCTTTTGTCCAAAGCAGATCAGAAAAGGGAGGAATTTAATCTTAAACTGCACTAGGAATGTGTTTTTGCACAAGAGGGGACAGAGCTTTTGACCCTATCGGAGAAACATCAGCCAGTATGAACAGGAGGAATCATGACAAACACCTGTAACTCTCTCAGCGTATCATATGGCCACGTGAGGAATGCGAGATCCACTTGAATAAATGTGAACTTCTCCTGTGAGCTACTCTTTAGGTGATGTGAGAGATAACATCTATATACTCAGGCTGTGAAGACAACATTAAACATATAAAACATTTCATTCTATTACGTTTGCTCAGTGAACCTTTGAGGACATTGTTAGTACAAGTGCTGGACAGCAGAGTATACAAGTAGACGTTGCACAATGACTGATTTTTTTACCAATCGACAAAGTGGCCTCTCAAACATCAACTAGCTGTGTGTTTTTAACCAATCGGATCATTTAAAAAAAGACACATGGTTTGTCTCTATTCTAAAATATTTCAAATTCACTACATTTATTGCTCATAACCAATCACTAATACCCAGTGGTGAAAGTAACTAAGCAGTTATTTAAGTATAAATAAAGTTTATTTAGTTCAGTTTTAATTTTACTTGATTATTTGCAGGTTCTGCTACTTTATACTTCTATACCACTAATATCCAGAGGCAAATATTTCACTTTTTACTCCCTTAGTTTTAACAACTTCAGTTACTGCAGATTCGGACTGATAATACAAAATAAGATCAACAAATAAATTGCGTTGTATTCATATCTTAAAATAAGATTAACATTAATGCATCAATAATTATAATCCTATAATATAATACACAATGGGTCATACTGCAGGATGAGTAACCTATGGTTCTTCAAGTGTGTTCTGATGCTAACACCAGTTTTACCTGAATAAAATTTTGAATGTGGGACTTTTACTTGCGCCTGTATTTATGCGACATTCGTACTCAGTACGTCATCCACCACTGCATTGGGAGAATGTGTTTATATGTGTTTAAAATCATGTTTATGTATATCATTATTTACCAGAAAGCAACTTATTTAACTTCTAAAACAATATTTAATCATTGCTGAAAGTTAATTGGCTCTGACGGTTATCTGACAAATCATATAAAGCACCTTTACATGCCTCGACACGGTGCCTAGATACGATTGTCATTCTTGTTTCTATGTGGGCAGCTAGTTGATGCTTTAGGAGAGCAGCACTCAGTGTTCTCCACAACTGTCAGATAATTCAGTGCAACTTCTACTGTACAGAGAGATACAACCAGAGAGAAGCAGAGATTAGTTCATGCCTGCATTTCATAACATGAGAACTGACCATGAACCAGTCTGAACGAGGTTAATGTTAAATCACAGAGCTTAGCATCTCTGCTTCATGCAAAGCCATTCCAACCAATACCTGAAACCTCACACTGTATTACACATGATCAAATATATTTCTTCCGTTAACTCTAAATGATTAAATGAGTATAACAGTAATTGTTTTGTTTTATAAATCACTGACAACAAAACCGTAATTGGCCTGTTCCATCACACTGTGAACTTCAACCCAGCTACTGTATGTAAAAGTTTAAATGAGATTCAAAAGCATCATTCGTGTCTGCAACATGTTTAAATCTTGATGAATAGAAAGTGTGAACAATCGTAATGGAAAACTGATCATTTGCCCAATGTTGATAAATTGTATAATCAATGCAAACCCCACCCACCACAATCTGACACCACAAACTTCAATTAAAAAAGTCCAAGCCCTGTGTAGGATGAGTTTGCAAGAAAGCATGAGCGTCCAAAGAAAGGGCAAAAGAAAAACAATGGAAAGTTCATCCTGAGGACTCGCATGTTAAAAATGAATCTAGGCACTTTGTTTTAACACTAGTCTATGTTTAAATATCAACACATTTTCTTTCCATTTTTCTATTTTGCACCTTTCTGTTGGACCCAGAAAGACAAAGTCTGCTGCACCAAAAAGGATTAAGAGTCACTAATGTTTCAGCGATGAGAACAGAAGAAACAATTA